GGTTCTTTTCTTCTTTTTGTGTGCGTTGGTATTCGATTTTGTCTGTGGTGTAGGGCGAAATCGGCATGGCTCTCTGGGCTCGGGCGTCGTCGCTTTCGAGTCAGGATGGGAGCGTGCAGGTCTTGAGTCGCCGGTTTGATTTCTTGCTTCTTCGTAGATGTCTTGGTAATTTTCAGTCTTGGCCCAAAAGCAGCAAAAAGCGTTTTCATTGCTGATTTTACTTGAGATTTTGTTAAATCGTCTTCACTTTCTGATTTTGGATCATCTGAAGAGTTTGAGACTTCTTTCTCACTTTCTTCGTCTGATAGTGTTTTTCGCGCCAGAAATTTTGAACTGAGCGTTTTGATTGGCTCTGCTCCATTCTCTTTTGAAGTTCGTTGAAACCAAGATGGCTGCCATTCAAAATTTCGGCGGGATCACATCTTTTCTTTTTAACAACTATTTTCTCAGTAGTCATCTCACTTACGATTTTTTGATCTTTGGGTTTTTCTTTAATGACGTTTTTCTCTCTCGCTGCTCCGCTGTTCTTCAGCATCTCCTGGAGGTCCGCGATGAGACTTTCATCATTCTTTTGGCTTTTTAGTATCTTTAATATCTCTGACCTGAGTTCGTATTTTCTATTTCGATTTCTTTCTGGTCATTATTTTCACTCATTAGTTCTTCTTCTTCAGTGGTGTATTCTTCGGATTCTCTCGAAATCGCATTGGTGGATTCGTTGATCATCTCTTGATCAGTTTCAATTTCTTTGCTGTAGGCCTGGTGTTGGGCCTATCTTTCTTGGACATTTTTAATTACTTATTGAGTCAATTAACCATCCTCTGCTACCAGCTTGTTGCAATATTTTCAGGATCAGACTCAATAAAGATAATAGAAGTTAAAGCTTTAAATATATTTCTTTTTAATTATGATAGGCATTCTATATTCACTGAATATTCGAGGTAGAAAGCAACGAGAATGGTGAGGGTGGCTCCTTATATATACAAGGGGTGGAGCTAGGAATGGGAGTGGTAAGTTATGAATACATTAAAGTCCAAAGAATAAGTTAACCTCTGATGTTCCATATATACATTATTTACACATTGGAGAATAAGGCATTTACATCTGACAAAACCCTTCTGGATAAAACTAAACTATCCGTCCAGTCCAAAATCTGGAGTCATGTGGTGGCCTAGAGGTGGAGCTCTCGCCTCACAATCAGGAGGCTGTGAGTTCAATCCTAGGTAGAGGCAGATATTTCTCTCTCTGAGCAAACTGAGAATATATCTGCTGAACAAAACTCCACATTGGTGACAGGAAAGGCATCTGGCCATTAAAACATTCTTCTAGCTCCATTCAGTTGCCCAGACTTCACCCCATAAGGTATTAATGGGTCGTTAAATGAAGATGATGATCCAATCCAAAATCGGGACAAAGTGTTATGGATTGGACAGAATGCCAGCAGTGTAGATAGTATTATATAGAAGAATGTCAAAATCAAATTGGTATAAAGTTGCATGTTATCTCCATGAGGGTAAAGCTGTATACTGTAAAGGAATAACAAAAAGGGATACTTCTGAATTACAAATTGGAGAAGGGTGCTGAGAGTACCATGCACTACAAGAAGAATCAGTTCCTCAGTCCTGGGCCAACAAAAGACTAGCTGCTCCCTTAAGCCAATGATCAACAAGTAGATACTTACTCTGGATTTGACATGCAGGCAGATGTTAGTCTAGGGAAAAAAATGTTTGACAAGGTTGATGGAAGTAGAAGAAAACAGATAAGACTGATGGAGAAGACAGGACAAGAAGCAACGGATGGAAACTAATCAAGGAGAGACGCGACCTAGAGACGCGACCTAGAATTAAGGAGAAATTTCCTGATAGAAGAATTAATCAGTGGAACAACTTGCCTGCAGAAGTTGTGAATGCTCCGTCACTGGAGGCTTTTAAGAAGAGATTGGACAACAATTTGTCTGAAATGGTATAGGGTTTCTTGCCTGAGCAGGGGGTTGGACTAGAAGACCTCCAAGGTCCCTTTCAACTCTTCCAATATTCTATTCTATTCTATTCTATTCTATTCTATTCTATTCTATTCTATTCTATTCTATTCTATTCTATTCTATTCCATTCCATTCCACTCCACTCCACTCCACTCCACTCTATGTTCTGTTCTGTTCTGTTCTGTTCCGTTCTGTTCCGTTCCGTTCCGTTCCGTTCCACTCCACTCCACTCCACTCCACTCCACTCCACTCCACTTCCCTCCACTCCACTCTATGTTCTATTCTATTCTATTCTATTCTATTCTATTCTATTCTATTCTATTCTATTCTATTCTATTCCATTCCACTCCACTCCACTCCACTCCACTCCACTCCACTCCACTCCACTCTATGTTCTGTTCTGTTCTGTTCTGTTCTGTTCCGTTCCGTTCCGTTCCATTCCATTCCGTTCCACTCCACTCCACTCCACTCCACTCCACTCCACTCCACTCCACTCCACTCCACTCCACTTCCCTCCACTCCACTCTATGTTCTGTTCTGTTCTGTTCTGTTCTGTTCTATTCTATTCTATTCTATTCTATTCTATTCTATTCTATTCTATTCTATTCTATTCTACTCTACTCTACTCTACTCTACTCTACTCTACTCTATTCTATGTTCTGTTCTATTTGATTTGATTTGATTCAATTCGATTCGATTCGATTCCACTCCACTCCACTCCATTCCACTCTATGTTCTGTTCTGTTCTGTTCTATTCTATTCTATTCTATTCTATTCTATTCTATTCTATTCTATTCTATTCTATTCTATTCTATAGCTCAAGAAGATTGCTGAGGTGTCAGTGGAAGAGCTACCAAGATGGTTCAGGCTGGTGAATATTTGTGCATGTATTTAGAGGCACCTGTTCACACCACACACACTTAAATGGCTATAATTTGTAAACTGGGAATTAGCAGTTTAAACATCTCCTGTTCTTGCATAGGCAATGTTTATTTTCCTTTAGACACCCTAGAAGATCACATTCTCTAAACTGTTTACTGTTTGGGATTAGAGGGTGAAGAAAGGAGGTGTAAAATTAGACGTTGGTGATTTGTAAGAGATGTTATCTCCCGCTTCTCGTATTAAAGCTACCCGGTGAACAGGGTTTGAAAGTAAGCCAGATAATCCACTTCCTGCACTTAGTTTGCCCATCTTATCTCTTACTGCCTTTGTTATCTCTGGACTGATTTCCGACCATAGATCAGACAGGAGAGGTGTGACATGTTTTTTTTTCCAAGCCCAAGGCCAGCTCATGGCCTCTGAGTGTCTTGCACTAAAATTGCTATAGCAAAAGCCAGAGCAGATTTTAGGAAGAAAGTATCATCCTGTATTTAATTTGCATCCCCCCCCTCTCTCCCCCCCTCCCTCCCTCCCTCTATCTACATCTATCTATCTATCTATCTATCTATCTATCTATCTATCTATCATCTATCTATCTTCATCTATCTACATCTATCTATCTATCTATCTATCTATCTATCTATCTATCTATCTATCTTCATCTATCTATCTATCTATCTATTTATTTATTTATTTAATCAAATTTCTATACCGCCCTACTCCCGAAGGACTCAGGGCAGTGAACAGCCAAGATAAAATACAGATAATACAAATATTAAAAATCCCTTAAAATTATTAAATATTTTGGCCGAAACACAGATTAAAACACCCAATTTATAAAATCACGAATTAAAAAATTTAAAAAATAATTTAAAATCTTCATCTATCTTCATCTATCTACATCTGTCTATCTATCTATCTATCTATCTATCTATCTATCTATCTATCTATCTATCTATCTATCCATCCTTCCATCCATCCATCCATCCATCCATCCATCCATCCATCCATCCATCCTTTGTCAGACCTGGAACCCTGACATCCTATCTATCTATCTATCTATCTATCTATCTATCTATCTATCTATCTATCTATCTATCTATCTGTCATCTGTCTGTCTAATCTCTCCTCTATTTTCTCTCTCTCTCTTGTCTCGCTCTCTCCTGTCTCTGTATCTTCTCTCTCTCTCTGTCTCTCTCTCCCTCCCTCCCTCCCTCCCTCCCTCCCTCCCTCCCATGTCCCTGGTGCTCTCAGAACCTGGTTGTTTTCTTGTAGACATTTCATTACCCAACTTAGGTAACGTCATCAGTGCTAGTAGGAGTGAGTTTGCTTTCAGTTTATATATTAGTAGCTTGCCCTACCAGTGTGTTTTCCTCCTCCTGTTGCATTGGTTGTTCCTGTTCCCTCTAGTGATTGATGTAGAGGTGGGCTGCTGCCGGTTCAGGCGAACCGGTAGTTACAACCCGTAAGTGCCCCCCCCCACTCACCCCGGCACTATTCCGTCCTATATCGCCATGTTTTTGAAGCCACACACATGCTCACATTTTCAGTGCTGGGTGAACTGGTTGTTACAACCTGCAACAGCCCACCACTGGATTGATGCAACTACTCTCTGCATTCCAAAGAGCTGTAGAATTGGTGGCAGTGGTGGGATTCAAATTTTTCTACTACCGGTTCTATGGGCGTGGCTTAGTGGGCGTGGCTCGGTGGGGTGGCCCCTTGCTGTGAGTGAGATTGAGTTGGCCAGGCCCACTCAGTCACATGACCCCCACCAACCACACCAACCAAGCCACGCCCTCAAGAACCAGCAGGGGCAGGACTAGCCAGAGGTGGTATTTGCCGGTTCGGCAAACCAGTTAAAATTTCCGCTACCGGTTCGGGCGAACCAGGCTGAACTGGCTGAATACCACCTCTGAGTGGCACGGTATGTCAATGGTTTCAAATAAGCCCAAGGAAAACGAAATACTTCAAACGAGGAGCAGCTGAGATGAAGAGGAGGTATTATCTTGGGTGCCTGTTCCTCAGACTTTGCAAAGCACCTGACTTTCTAATTTTGGTCCAAATAGGTCATTGTGTCGCTGTAGAAACAACTTTTTTTTTTTAAAGAACAGCTGTGTTCTAAAACAACTCCTTTATTTTCCAGGTCTCTACAATTCTATGGACAGCTGGATGATTGTTCCCAACATCAAACAGAACCATTATACGGTGCATGGGTTGCAAAGCGGCACACGATACATCTTCCTCGTCAAGGCGATCAATCAGGCTGGCAGCCGAAACAGTGAGCCTGCCAGGCTAAAGACTAACAGTAAGCATTTTCATGGTTGGGACTTTCTTCCTGGTCTGAAGACGGGAGGGGAAAGAGCAAATACACGGGGCATAGAAGCAGAAGCATAGAAAAAGAATTTCTAGAAGAACATGTCTACAAGAACATCTTGCAGTTCCTACGAAGGTGTGGTGATGGATTCCAGTCCTTCATATTCCAGAATGGGGTTAAATTTAAAGGGAGGATCCTTGACTGTTTATGAAGGTTGGCTAACACTAATTGGATTTGCACACCCGGTTATATTAAAATATAATGGAGTTATATATTGAGTAGCTTGGGGTGTGGTAGGAAGCCTAGCTATCCCCTTAGGTTTTGCAAAGTGAGTCATCATTTTAACAGATTACAGATTAACAGAGTTGGAAGGGACCTTGTAGGTCATCTAGTCCAACCCCCCGCCCAAGCAGGAGACCCTACTTTTCCGTACATTGAATTTCATTTTCTTAGAGAGGGTCCAGTGTTCAAGTCTGTCAAGATCCATCTGGATCTTGAGCCTATCTTCTAGGGTGTTAGCTATTCCTGCCAGCTTAGTACCATCTGCAAATTTGGTAAGTTCCCCTTCTATTCCCTCATCTAAGTCGTTTATGAAGATTGAAGAGTACTGCTTAACGCATTGTAAGCTGCCCTGAGTCTCCGGAGAAGGGCGGCATATAAATCGAATCAATCAATCAATCAATCAATCAATCAATCAATCAATAACACTGGGCCTAAGACTGAACCTTGTGGTACCCCACTGCTTACTTCCCTCCATGTAGACATAGACCCATTAAGGACTACTCATTGCGTATGGTTTGTCAGCCAGTTACGAATCCATCTGGTGGTGATGCTATCTATCCCACTTTTTTCTACATTACCAAGTAGTAGGTTGTGGTCTACTTTGTCGAACGCCTTGTTGAATGTTAAGCCATAGTTGGGCACTGCACAGGATCATGACATGTTGTGGAGTGCAGTGGCTCACACGGTTAGGACGCTGGGTTGGAGGTTAGCAAGCCTGCGTTTTAGACCCGAGTGCAGCTGCCTGGCCGGTTGAGCTCCTGTCATTTGCTCCAGCTCCCTGATGGGGATATGAAAAGAGTTCTCCACAGGCATTTCCCAGGCAACATTGATGTCTTAAGGTATTATGAATCTCAAGATTCTGGACTGCCATTTTACATTACTGCTAGTCATTGGTCCAGACTGGCTCAATCTTCCTACTTAAACATAGCTGTAGCAATGTTTTCTGAGGAATCTCAAGAAGGTTACATCAGAGGGTATTTTTAAAAAGTCTTATCCTGAATCCATAACACAGGGAAATTTATGGAATAAATATTTGCCATTTCTTCACCCCCAGTATCACTTAGAGGTAAAGGTAAAGGTTCCCCCGCACATATGTGCTAGTCGTCCTGACTCTAGGGGGCGGTGCTCATCTCTGTTTCAAAGCCAAAGAGCTAGCACTGTCCGAAGACGTCTCCGTGGTCACGTGGCCGGCATGACTAAATGCCAAAGGCGCACGGAACGCTGTTACCTTCCCACCAAAGGTGGTCCCTATTTTTTCTACTTGCATTTTTTATGTGCTTTCGAACTGCTAGGTTGGCAGAAGCTGGGACAAGTAACGGGAGCTCACCCCGTTACGTGGCACTAGGGATTCAAACCGCTGAACTGCCGACCTTTCGATCGACAAGCTCAGTGTCTTAGCCACTGAGCAACTGCATCCCTCTCAGTATCACTTATTACCACTCGGGAGAGTAGAGGAGGACTAGAAAGCTTCCTTTGGTGAACATCTCAAAATTAACCAATCTTAGAGGTCCACTGGATTTGCACTATTTGCATGAGATGAAAGAGATGGACCAGATGTACGAGATAGGAGAAGGATATTGTATCCAGAAACCTATTATCACAAACCCATTATGGTGGATATTTAGACCCAACTTCATTTGGCCTGTAGAAAGTGGGTTTTAATGGATTCCGGGATCCTTCCCACTTTGATATTTCAATTTTTCCTATCTTCAGTGTTTGACTGGGTGTTTAAAATGATTTATTGCCTCCACCACTTCCATCAGCTCCCTGGAAACCAGAATGCCTGTGAAAATAAAAAGCAAATCCAATTTCTTTTCTTGTGAGTTGAGGAGAACAGCTCGGCTTTGATGAAAATCTTTTCTTTTTTGCTTGCTTGCTTGTTTGTTATGAAAATGCATCGCTCACAGATTTGTGAGGGTTTCTAAAAAGGGATGAATGGCTGCCTGGCTGGATAAGCCAAGCCCTGGCAAAAAAAAAAAAAAAAAAAAAGCCTCTACTTTGGAGGGTATTGACTTGTGTCAATAAATTGCTAGCAAGAAAGGGTTATAGGGGAAAGGAGGGTGTGAGATGGACTGCCCTCTCTGTCACTCAGCCGAATGATTAGGAGGTGGCCCAAGGCTTTGCATTGCACTGGAAGTCCATTTGTTAAATTAATCAAACACCCAATGAACTTTTAGCCAATGCATGTCAAAGAGGGAGCATAAACTGGCAAATGAGATGGGGTGGGGGCTTCTGATTGTACCACCAATTTGTGGTACAATCAGTGGGCGAATTTGTGGGCGAACCAGCTCAAACCAGTAGCATTTCATCCCTGTCTTTCAGCAAGGAATGTATGAGAATACAAGGGTAGTTTTCCATTTGCAATCTTCACATCTGCTGCTGAGTTGCAGCCTAGCAGTGGAACTAAGATTCTCCGGAGGGATTATGGAGATACTTTGGAAAAGAAGACCTTAAAATCCTAGATTTCATGGTTCTTTCTCTTGGACCAAGGTTTTAGAAGTTATGGGGTGGCTTTTTCAGCGAAGCACTTTTTAAAGCAGGATTGTCAGCAAGCCATGTGCAATTACCTCCTAAAATGACATTCACGGGGTTTTAAATTTTTTTTTTTTAATGTGTGATATTTTTGAATTCTCACATGAAGTCTCCTTGCAAAATAACATCCAAGGAGAAGTAACTGAGGGGGTTGGGAATGTTTATTGGAAGAAATAAAGAGCCTTGGTAGTACAGGGGTTTAAGGCACCCTGTTATTAAGCTTATTAAGACCAGCTGCCTGCAATTACTGCAGGGTTCGAATCTCGCCAAGGCTCAAGGTTGACTCAGCCTTCCATCCTTTCTAAGGTAGGTGAAATGAGGACCCAGGTTGTGGGGGCAATAAGCTGACTTTGTATAAATATACAAAAGGATGAAGGCTATTGCTGAGCACATTGTAAGCCGCCCTGAGTCTTCGGAGAAGGGCGGCATATAAATCAAATTAAAAAAAAAAATATCCATCTGGTCCAGTTCCATGCTGGAATGAAGACACTGGAAACATGTAGGCTGATTGGAAAGATGGTTTAATGATGAAGCACAACCCCCAAGCACATGTGATTCTGGGTAGCTGACCACATGGAGTTGAGAGTGAGGGTTTTTTTATACCTTCTCTTGGCCTTTGCACTTGAGCTTCCTGTTCCTGTGCAAGAACCTGTATTCTATTGGCTGTTGTCAGACTCCCATGGAGCCATGTACAAATCCTAGGAGTTTGTCTGAGCTAAGCTTGGTTGAAGTTTGGCTGATGCAATGAAGGGGTTTGTGTTCTGAAAGGGTGTTGGGTAATTCCTATTGTGGCTTAATGGCTTTGCCCTGAAGGATAATCCCATCATCCTGGAGCTGAAGGTTTTTTGTGTTTTAGATAGGCTGGCCTAGTCTTTCCCAATGGGCACAAAACAGGAGTGAAATCTACTTACCTTCCCTACCGGTTCGGAAGCGTGTGCGTGCGTCACATGCAATTTTGGACCCTCTGCGTATGCACAAAGCTTTCTGTACATGTGCAGAGGGTAATAAACAGGTTATTTCCTGGTTAAAACCAGGAAGTAACAACGTCTGGGCAGGTGGGCGGAGCCTCGCACTGCCACCGCTACCGGTTCTCCAAACCACCTGCCGCCGTTACCAGTTTGCCTAAACCGGTGCGAACCAGTACCATTTCACCCCTGGCACAAAATATCTGCTGGGGCTATTAAGAAAGTGGGGGTTGCTTTTAAAAAAAAACATGTTTCTCCATTTCTCCCTTTAGGAAATATAATATTCTGCCTTTTTAATATTTCTCAAAATATTTCATTCTCCTAGGAGAGGGGTGGGTGCTACCTTTCTACAGTCTTGAGATAGGAAGGTGGAAGATGGGATATGGTAGCATGTGAAAGAAGTCAGCTTGCAGTCCAAAATATGTTCTGTGTGCTCTCATAGTATAGGACAAAGAGTAGGGCCTTAAATTACAGGAAGATTACGGTGCAGTGTTAAGAATGAGTTACCCAGAGCAATGATGGACTCTCTTTCTGTGAACATGTCCAGCTAAAAGCTGGAGAGAGACTTGTGATGAATGGTTTAATGTGGACCCCTGCAGGTCTCAAAGTGTCACCTCCCAACCCTGATTCTCAGGAAACCACCTGAGATTTTGGGGCTGAGATTGCCAAAACCTTGCAATATTTCCCACATGTATAGTTAGGACAAAAAAATATAGTTAGGATAAAAGGGACGCGGTAGCTCAGTGGCTAAGATGCCAAGCTGGTCGATCGAAAGGTTGGCAGTTAGGAGCTCTGGTGGCTCAGCAGACTAATTAACATCCACTTACATCTGCTGCCTGCAATTACTGCAAGTTCAAATCTCACCAGGCTCAAGGTCGACTCAGCCTTCCATCCTTTCTAAGGTAGGTAAAATGAGGACCCAGATTATGGGAGCAATAAGATGACTTTGTATAAATATACAAAAGTATGAAGGCTATTGCTTAACGCATTGTAAGCCACCCTGAGTCTCCGGAGAAGGGCGGCATATAAATCAAATTAAAAAAAAAAAAAATGTTCAACGGTTCGAATCCCTAGTGCTGCGTAACGGGGTGAGCTCCCGTTACTTGGCCAGCTTCTGCCAACCTAACAGTTCGAAAGCATGTTAAAAAATGCAAGTAGAAAAATAGGGACCATCTTTGGTGGGAAGGTAACAGCATTCTGTGCGCCTTTGGC